AGCAATCTACACATACTGGCAGCTTAATTGTTGAGTAGTTATTTTTTATAGGCAAAGCAAAATTTTCAGAAGGAACTTAGAATTAATAACAAAGGGCTGCTTTACGGATATTTTCAAGGGGTCTTCCAACTGTGAACTGTTGCATAGGAAAATTAAAGAGGTATATATTTGAAAATGTAACAAGTAGGCTCTCATGGAATACGAAAAGATAGTCTCTAAAAGATCTTCAGAGACAAGATAAGCATATGTGTAGTATGACCCAAGTAGGAGGAGTGAGCTGGGAGAAAAAAAATCACTTTTATTCAAAAAAGAGCACAGTTAGAATGTTATTTTTATGGTGTTTCAGACAGATATTAACAAGATAAGACTGTACTTATCTAGCCAAAAGATAAAGAAGTTGCAAAATAAGATTTGATGTGACCTGAGCTTTATGTATAAATGTACAAATTACTACCTATCTTCCAAGATTGTTAACAGAAAGATTCTGTTAGAATCAGGAGAAGCCTGAATGTGAAAAATGAAAGGGATGTCCAAATCAGAGAGATGTCTGCCACCGAAAGGTAAGAGAGATAGAGAGGCATGAACAAAATATGGTAAAGCTCCATATTAACAATACTGAATTTCCACTAAATACTGAAAAACACACATTAGAGACAGATCTGGGTTTTACCATCTGCAGTTGGTGACAGGTTTCTAGACAGTAGCTAAGTTAACATCTGCAAATGCTGTTAACCACAGATTCTTTTTCATTATATAGATCCCTGTTACAGGGAAAGTGTGATGTGGCTTCAGGACAGAATGCAGTGGATGAAAACACTGAAACCTGTGAAGAACATGCTGAAGAGTAAGGAGAGAAGAATAGATCAAAAGAAATTATACTGCAGCATTCATCTTTTCCATTATTGTAGCCATTCAATCAGATTATTTCATTATTTAGATCAACAAAGCTCAACTGGAACTGAAGCTGGCCAGAAATGTGGGGGACAATGAAAAGGGCTTTTTCAAATACATTAATGGCAAGAGGCAGTACAGAAATGTAATTGGCTCATTACAGGATGAGGACGGTCACCTCACAAACAGGGACAGAGACAAGGCAGAGGTGTTCAACACTTTCTTTGTCTCTGTCTTCAACACGGATGACGGATCAAGGGGGTTTCAGTGCCCTGAGCTGGTTGACCATGACTGTGAGAATGATCAGCTCCCAGTCAATCCTGAAACTGTACAGGATCTGCTGCTCCAGCTGGATCCCTGCAAATCTATGAGGCCTGATGGGATTCATCCAAGAATCCTCAAAGACCTAGCTGATGCCATAACGAAACCTCTCTCAATGATTTTTGAGAGGTCTTGGGGATCCAGATAGGTCCCAGCTGGCTGAAAGACAGCAAATGTTGTCCCAGTTTTCAAGAAGAGCAAGAAGGAGGACTTTGGAAACTACAGGCCTGTCGGTCTCACTTCAGTGCCTGGTAAAGTTACGGAGAAGATTATTCGGGAAATATTGAAAAACATCCGAAATACAACACAGTCATTGGTCACAGCCAGCACAGCTTCATGAGAGGAAAGTCCTGCTTACCAAAACTGATTTGCTCCTATGACAAGGTAACCCACCTAGTTGATCAAGGGAAGCCAGCTGATGTAATCTTTTTAGATTTCAGCAAAGCTTTCAATGATGTCTTTCACAGGATCCTTCTGGACAAGATGTCCAGCCCACAGCTGGATAAACACATCATGTGGTGGATGAGCAACTGGCTCACGGAGCAAGCATGGAGAGTAATAGTGAGTGGGGTAACATCAGACTGGTAAGGCCTTGTTCTTTCAACATCCTCATAAATGACTTGAATGTAGGACTGGAAGGGACACTAAGCAAGTTTGCAGATGACACAAAACTGGGAGGAGCTGTTGACTCCCTTGAAGGCAGGGAGGCCCTGCAGAGAGATCCCGACAGATCAGAGGAATGAGCAATCACCAACCATATAAAGTTCAACAAGAGGAAGTGCTGGACCTGGAATGGGACAACCCTGGATGTTCCTACACATGGGGGAATGAGATGCTGGAAAGCAGTGCCACAGAAAAAGGACCTGGGGGTCCTGGTTGATGGCAAGTTGAATGTGAGTCAGCAGTGCCCTGGCAGCCAGGAGGGCAAACCATGTCCTGCAGGACATCAGGCAAAGCATCACCAGCCAGTCGAGGGAGGGGATTGTTCTGCTCTGCTCTGCACTGATGTGGCCTCACCTTGAATATTGCGTGCAGTTTTGGGCACCACAATATAAGAAAGTTATTAAGCTCTTAGAGAGTGCCCAAAGGAGGGCAACAAATATGGTGAAGGGCTTTGAGGGGAAGCCATATGAGGAGTGGCTGAGGTCACTTAGTTTGTTCAGCCTGGACAAGAGGAGACTGAGAGGAGATCTCATTGCAGTCTACAACTTCCTCATGAGGGGAAGAGCAAGGGCGGGCACTGATCTCTTCTCTGTGGTGACCAGTGACAGAACCAGAGGGAATGGCCTGAAGTTGTGTTCTTCATCCAGAGGGTAGTTGAGCACAGGAACAGGCTCCCCAGGGAAGTGGTCACAGCACCAATTCTGATGGAGTTCAAGAAATGTTTGCACAATACTCTTGGGCCCATGGCATGACTCTTGGGGATGGTCCTGTGCAGGGTCAGGAGTTGATGAACTTTGTGGGTCCCTTCAAACTTGGTCCATTCTGTGATTTTGTTATTCTATGATTCTATGAATTTTGATACTACTGTGGTATTTGCCCAAATACTTGAGGCAGTTGAAGGACTCCATTGAGTTAAACAGGCTTTGAATCAGTGACTGTCCTGCTCTCTCAAACTCAACAAACAATACACTTTTGCCCTATAACATTCTCAAAAGGCAATTTGCCTAAGTCAAATTAGCACATCAAAATATTGTTAGCATTAATTAACTAGTAAATCAACAATTATTTTACTAGTTAGCATATCAGTGCTCTCTAGAGTCAAGTAATTTATTATTCTATTTTCTCCAAATATCCCTGCCAATTAGAGTGAGGCGAGCATATGATGACTTAGAAACATGATTCTTATTATTTGAAAATTAGAAAATGTAATAGATCTACATTTTTAGAAAGTCTTGCTTGAAAGTCAGAAAACATTTTTGAGCTCTAAAGTAATATGTGGTTCCAGTTGCATGCAGTTGTTTTCTTTAATCCAACAGAGTTGAATTAAAACTGTGTGAATCAACTGCTCAAACTCCATTTTACTCATAGCATGGGGATTTTTAATTGAGGAAGACCAAATTTTCAGGTGTTTCTCTGGCTATGTTTTCTTAGCTAAGATGAGGAAAAATTATATTCTGGCTATGTCTGATCTTCAATTTTCATTTTTTTCTTACAGCTTTCTCTTCATTTTTCAGTTTTTTCTCTCTGTATTGTGTAATGTGAAACAACTGTCTTGGTCTTTGGAAATTATATTGCAACTTACAGTAGTTTTCAATAAAACACTACACTTATATTCCTAAAGTAGTACATTTTACTTCTTATGTTCACTTAAAATTATTTTAAAACTGTTGTTTTGGGGGTTTTTTGTGAAAACTATATTTACATTTAGGTGAGTAGATATTTTCTGTACATAAAATGAGAATGTATTTTATACATATCTATAGTTCTATAGCTCAGAGACCATGTGCTTGCACAAGTAGAATAGAGTTTTTCCTAATAAATACTTCTCTATACTATAAAATATTATATTTTATACTGTTAGGCATTATCAATTTTATTTTACTAAAACAGTAAAAATAAATCTGATTTTTTTGCAAAGAGCAGACAGGGGAATCAAAGGACTAACAAAGGCAACCACGAAAACTCAACACCCCGCAGTTAAGAGAGCAAGTTGATCAAAAGACATTTTTCTGCTATTAAGCATTTTGATTAATTTACACGGCTAATGGTTGCAGTAGCTGGAGACACTGTCCTTGACCTTCTTTTGCCACCCCTCTGCTGTATCTCACTGCCCCTGCAGATACACGATGCGATCAGAAGCTTGCCCAGCTCTTATCTGCCTCACTGTACTACTGTCTTCTCAGCTCAGCTCTTCCTCCACTCCCAAATTGCCACAGGATGCCAAACTCTGCCCTGAAGTGATCAGTGTGCACATATAAGCTCTCTCCTTCCAACTCTGCTGTGTGGGCAGTAGCCTTCAATTAAGAAGAGTACCAATAGCTAAGATGACTACATCCTAACTAAATTTTTCTGAAAATTTTAACTGAAATATTTTCATGAAATTTTTCCCATGACTAAGCAAAAGAGAACTTGAGTTTGCATTAAGATATCTAGCAAATATGTTTTAAATTATCAATCTTTCTTCTTTTATTGTGAAGACTGCCAGCTAAAATTACAGGATATTCTTGTACAGCAGAGATGCATATTTTTCTCTCTCAGAAATACCCAGAGTATATTAGCAAGACTGGCTAGAAAAGGCTTAGGGAAGCAGGCAGTTATGTGTTTGATATATTTGACTCCAGTTTTCACAGAAAAAAATCCAAAACTTAATGTTTTCTCTATAAATAAATAAGATTGCAACTGAGACTAAGGATTTTCATACAAAATTTTGGCTGGCTGCTTGGATAAATCCATTCTAACTAAGAAAAACTAGGAAGATTTTAGGTAAGCAAAAATAAGTATCTGAATTAAAGTGATTAGTGTTGAGTATTTAATTTTAATTTTAATTAGTTTTGCAGTAAACAATACAGATTATAGGAGGCATTTACTGCTGCCTCTGAAAGAAAGCACTTCAACCAGCAGATGAATTTCAGATGTGTTACTTGTCTAATAAATGACCAGCATCACATTCCAGAGCATTTCCACATTTTTCAGAGTTCCTTTTCCAGTTTCACTTACTATAAGCCTGCTTGAACATGAAGTACTGTCAAACTGTAGTATTGGTGAGATGATTATGAGCTAAAAATTAATCTGATTGCAGTAGAAATAAATTAATGTAAATAATTCACAGCAACATGCAGACTGACCTGTCCAGTAATAGGTTAGGTGCAAATAAAAGCTTTCCTGGGTGTTCCATGGAGCGCCAGACTAAGCCGATCATCAGTATCTCTAACCAAGCACATTCCAGTAGATGAACCTGATCATGGAGTGTTAAATCCACAAATCCTGAAAGAATAAATAGGAGACAGTAAAAACACTCCAGGTTTTGTAAGTGGAACAACATTATTCAGAGAACCAGGTTAAAAAGTGCATTAAAGCTGGATAACCAAAAAGAGCAATAAAAGAGACATTTTTTCTCTTTTCATTTTGGGTTGAGTTTTGTCTATTACTAGATCCATCCTAATAATTATTCCATCCTACAGAACAGTCAGTATTTTCTGACACTCTTTGTGTCCCAGCTGTACCCTTTGCCAAAAGCAGAGCAAGAGCCAGGACAGCATCTCTATCCCTACACCTATTGCCAGTGGCCTGGGAAGCCAGGTGCACACTGTAGAAAGGGGCATCTCTCCACCTCAGTGCCATGTTGCTTGGGGCATGATGGAGGTAAAGTAGAAAAATGCCTTACAAAATTAAATGACAGCTCTAATTAGCTGTCACCCAGACCAATTTTCCTGGTGGAATGCTGTTTTATAGACTCATGAACAATTCATCATACTGCAAGTGCTGTACTTGTGTGGAAGAGGGCCTAGATATAGCATTTCAAATAAACTAGTAAGCAAATGCTGATCACTGCATTCAGAATTCACTGATGAAACACTTGTTTATATTCTATTGGTACATAGCACCCGGAGGAAGGACGTGACCTCTCTTACTCTGTATTTAAACACAGGAAACAATGAATGCAAAATTAAGAGATTGCTTATAACAACACTAAAAAATACTAATATGAAAGAATAATGACGAAGGTAGATATGAAAACATAATCACAGTGGTCCTTCCTGTGTTCATTACATGGAACAGATTGTATTATTCTCTATTTGAGTTCCTCACTTTTCGTGAATGTTACCTTCAATCCAAAGGGGAGATTGCATAGTTCAATTCATTAAACCTTGAAATTCATTAATTCCTTGAAATTAGAAGGAACTTCCTAAATTGAAATGTGTAGAAGTTCCCTTAAAAGAGATCTTATTTTCCTCAGTGTTATGAGTGTAACACATTATTATATAAATTTTGCCATATTTTTTCTTATTTGGTAATTATTATTTACACTAGTCTTCGGAATAGAGGTTAGAGGGTAAACTACCTTACCAGTCCAGTAAATGGTAGGATTTTCTTTCTGTGTTGTGTCCTCTCTAGAGGTATATACTAAATCAGGTATATTTGAGGAATATACCTGACATACTCTCAAGTGCTATCTTGAGAAAAAGGAAGAAAAAAGGCACGTGTTTTTAAAGATAAGTGTTGTGCTATGAAATATATTTTTCAAATAACAAAGAGGTAGAGAAGAAAAAAAATACAGTTCACAATAACTTTAAAAATACTGTTATGTTTGGTAAAACAGTTGTTGATATAATTATTTTTAATGAAAATATCTGAGAGAACTAATCAATCTATTCACAAAGAATCATTCAAAAAAAGGAAATAGCTTTGACATATCTGAAATAAAACCCACCTATCAATCATTAGAAGTGAATTTAGACAGTTACATTACCTGCTGTTTTTATGAAAGTGGTAACAATAGGAGAAAAAATAATTGCCTTTTCCTGTATTTCCCCTTTATTACCAAATACAATTTTCAGACTTCAAAGACTGATGGAATGGCATTTGTCTGAGTCACCAAACAGCCTGAACAATAGAGCTGAAACTTAAAAGAGCAACACTCTTAAGAACAAAGCATTGGTTACAGCACTCGAACAAAATTGGCAGAAAGAAACTGTCAGTATATGGAGAACAAATAATAACCCCCATGTTTCCTTTTAAGTATTACCTTAGTACGACAAGAAATAATAATGAAGTGTTTTTTCCTATGCTTGAAGAGTATGACAGAAATGCAGGGACACAGATCCAGGTGTGGTGTCTGAAGTTTGCGATCAGTGCCTTACAAGTCAGTTATATTGCCATCATTTCACATGGCTGCATACTTTCCTGCAACAGATTGTTTTGATTGTTGCAGAAAAACTGAGCTTGTTACAACAGTGGCAATTCACTTTCCTTAAAACTCTGCCTATTCTACAATATTCTGGACACCAAAATGCTTTGCTTTGTCTCCACACTGTCTCAGTCTTTATTTTTGTTACGCTTATTCTCAAACCCCTTTTAAGCCCTTTTTATTAGCTCTATTTTTCCCATCCCCACAGATGAAATTCAAATTGCACTGAGGCCAAGTAATCTGCACAAAAACTAAAGAGAGAAAGTAAAAAATAAAGCTAATAAATTACCTCACTAATACTGTAGAGCAGTGATATTTTGTTGGCCTGCTGAGAATAGAAATATACTACCTGACATCTTTTAAAGTAGTTTATAAGTAGTGAATACTTTGCATTAAAAGTCCTAAAATATTAATGTTGTCTAGAATTTTAACTCCAATTTCATAGAATCATAGAATCATCTGGGTTGGAAGGGACCTCTGAGATCATCAAGTCCAACTCTTGATCCACTACCGCCGTGGTTACTAGACCACGGCACTAGACCATGGCACCTTTCAGCAAAGTTAAGAAAATTTCAAAAACCTAGAAATGGAAAGAAAAATTATTGTGGGTCCATAGTTCAAAGAATTAAATGACCACTAAGCCTGACACCTACCTTGGGTATCAAAGCTAACACAAACTTTGATTAATGCAGGTTTAGAAGTCTGTATTATAATAATACATATTAACCGTAGTTCATAGAAAAAACTTATCAAATTGCCTTGATGGCTTTTTTACATGACATTTTTAGTTTATTATCTTGCTGTAGATAAAACTAGTGAGTTAGTTTAGTTGATAAAACTAAACATCTTGCCCAGAGAAGCTGTGGATGCCCCATCCTTGGAAGTGTTCAAGGCCAGGCTGGACAGGACTTTGAACAAGCTGGCCTAGTGGAAGGCACCTCTGCCCATGGCAGGGGGGTTGGAGCAAGATGATGTTTAAGGTCCCTTCCAACTCAAACCACTCAATGATTCTATGAAATAATAGTTTTGAGGAAACTGAGTTCTATGAGACATTTGATTTTGTAAAAACATGCAACACATTAAATGAATGAAAATATTTTAAATTACATATCTCAGTATGGCAAAAGGGTAATAATAAATTGAAGTGTTCCTAAAGAAAGGATATACAGTTCACCTCTCTACCCCAGACAATTTTTTAATGATGACATGGAAAAAACAGAAATCATAACTCAGATTTCCTGTTGGCATGTGGGAAATAATGCAAAAGCAGGTTGATAATGCAAGCAATGTAAATCACTCACTAGCTTCATCATAAATTTAAACCGAGAACATTCAACATATTTACAAGACAAAGTTATGATATAACTATACAGTAGCAGTTATGAAAAGGAGATAGAAATGATGGAGAAATATCAGTCCAGTTCGAGCTACATCTAATGGAGACATTGAACTTTATAAAAATCCAGGGAGAGCATAAGAAAGTTGAATTACCTCAGTGTTACCTGAATCTGGTAACCATCCTTCAAGTGGGATGAGAAGTTGGACAGAATGGTAGAGAAACATCAAAATGAATAAAGCATTGAAAAATACGCCCTCTAGTGAGGAATAAAAGGAATTTAGTTACTCTTTGTGAAGCTGAATAGTCTAGAGGGGTTAAAGGACAGCAATGGGTAAATATCCAAAGAAAAAGAGAATAGCATTACAAAAAGTAATAAGATAACACAGAGAAGCTCATGCTGGAAACTAAATCTGCTCCAAGTCAGACTACAAAAGAGGGGCTATTGTTAACAACAAAAGTTGTTATTATCTAAGCAACATATTAAGTTTCCATGAATTTTCTATCATTAGAAACATTAATCAAGATTTAATTATTATTTTTAAGACAAAGTCTTGTTCAAGCAAGTTAATTCAGAATAATGTCACAGAAGGTTAAATTAAACTATGAATAAATCATTAATCACTTCATCATTTAGAGCAACTTTAATGTGGCTGAAATTATGTGTAGATGTGCACAGCATTCTCAAATATCAGTGTTCTTTTAATGTTGGCAAGTTTTGAAAAGTATTCAAAAAGTATTTTTTAATTCTAAATTTTTGGTTACTGCGCTTTAAGGAAGAAGAAAGACATTCACTTCACTGTTGATAAATTAATTAATTGCAGTTTGGATGTAACCTATATCTGACTCTATACACCAGATTGACCAATTGTATGACATTATGAGACATATCAAAGTCTTCATGTGGCCAAAGCCCACAAGACCTAGATTGCCACTAATCCATTCATCTATCATATGCTTGGCAGGAGAAAGACACTTACAGAATAAAGCCACGGCTAGACCATCTTTTTTTTCAAATAAAGATAAATTAACAGCATTTTCAAGTGATTACCAACAACAAACACAATGATCGTTCCACGAACTCTTGTATGAATAAGGAAATCTGAGCTTCTGAAAAGCCAGAATGGCCTTTAGAGTACTCAGCTAGGAGTAGGTAGCAAATACAGTTACGTGTAGAACACAAAACTGTAATTTCCAAATTAAACAGACTATCCTTTCTAATATAAAGCAGCAGTCTGTGCTGCTTCAGTGACAATATGATATAAATCTCTTCTCCTTTGGACAATAAGACAGCACAAAGCAGCAGTGGGTCCATGGAGGAGAAGCTATTAAAAGCCCTGTTGTGGCAAGCATGGCTCTAGGGATGGCATTAGATTTGGGAATCCAAAATTGTATGATCCTACCATCCTAAAAAAATGAAGGCAGTAACCATTTACAAATAGGTATGAGCAAATCTCTTTGTAACGTGGAAGTTTGGGTAGCTGCCCAAGAGCAACACAAGGACTGTTGGAAGTAATATTCAATAAAGCTTACAAACCTGAGAAGAGAGAAGTGATTTATGCAATAAATTGCTTGATTGCAGTAAGGAACAACAGAAAGCTCAGATGATTTTCATTTATTGCTACTGTTAGCATACATTGTGACCCCTGAAGTCCTCTGAAATAACCACTACCTACATATGCATTTGTGTATATATATATGCGTGTAAAATCATATCATTTTGAAACTAATAAATTCATC